TGAGTCTTGTGAAAACCAACGTTTGTTTACAGGAGCAAAGGAAGCAAAGTTTCCTTACTTTAGCAAAGGAAAACCAGTCTCCTCTTGGCTTATATCGAAATCCTCCGAAATTCTTCTTTACAAATTTTGTACTTCTAATTCGTGACCATTGTTTTGATTTGATCACTCCCCTGCACTTCCGCGTTCGACACTTCTGAGCGGCGCATGCGCAACGCCGACGTCCTACGTCATCCGCCCGGAGCTGCTTCTGTGTACAACAGTGAGCGCAAGCTAGATTACATTAATTATTATGTTTTAAATATGGTTATTGTTTTCACAAAAACGCATCAATTCGCTACAGGAGGCCTTTGTTCACCCCCCCCCGGAGCCGTGTGAGGCAGTTTTTATTATGGATGGATGCGCTTTATTTCACTTCTTTTGGACTGATGCACTGCAACACCCGCTGACAGCCATTAAACAGCTTGGAATATCAAAGCAAAGTTTTTAATATAACTCCGACTGGATTCGTCTGAAAGAAGAAAGTCATATACACCTAGGATGCCTTGAGGGTGAGTAATTCATGGGCTGATTTTCATTTTTGGGTGAACTAACCCTTTAAGTGAATGTGTGCCTATTAATAATAAAATAGAATATTATTTGCAAATACTTCAAAGATTAGTTTACAATAAATTCTAGTGCTTCTTTCTTTTTCTTTGTTCCCTTAAGTCTCTTACAAATGTTTAAAATATGGTTACGGCCTTGGATTTAAACATGGTGAAATATGTTAAATGGAGTTGAACATACTCATATTAGCAGCTGAAAGCATAATTAAATTATCCAAAATATTTAATAAAAAAACAAGAAAAGATAGATGTGCACAAGTGAATGCACACTCAGATTCCATGTGAGCCTAGTTATAAGTCACAGACACACAAACACTCACTCTCTAACAGCCTCTGTCAGGCAGCGGTCAGTAGCATCGCTGCAATCTGTCCTGTGCTTGCGGCAGATCCTGGTATTAGCGCGAATGGGAGTCTGCGTGTTTTGCGGCCGCAGCCTGCGCAGACGGGTATGCAGAACTTTACGCAGTTTTTGCCGCGTGAATGCATACAGCAGCGGATGTAGCACTACCGTCCAATAAGCAAGCACCAGGAAGCAGAGTCTCAGGCGTTCTAGCCAATCAGATGGCCCGATGGCCAGCATGAGAAAGGGCATGATGGAGAGAGGCGCCCAGCATAGCAGACGGTGGCGCCGAACTGCTCGACGCAGAGCCAAAATGGCCGATACTGACGCTCCCACGCCCATGCTGGGAGGACCCTGAACGGGGGCGGGGCTTAGCTGAGTGGTTACTGTGGATACAGTGGGCATGGGGCTCAAAGGCGTGGCCACTGATGATGTAGTAGGGGTGGGGATGTGAGGGCTAGTTATGGCGGATACAGATGGGGCAGGACTCAAAGGCGTGGTTACCATTGAAGCAGTGGGGGTGGGGCTTAAAGGAGAGGTTATCACGGATACAGTAGGGGTGGGGCTAAGTGGCGTGGTGAGCGAGGGAGTGTTCGTCTCAGTGTTGATGGTTACTGTTGTAACTGTATCTGAGGTGATAAGCGGGTCGGTTGAAAGCTGCGGTGGGGAGGTGGGTGTGTTTCTCGTCGTGTGATCCGGTGACCTCGTTGACTTTTTATGCCGTAACCAGAGACGATGCACAGGCCGTTTGCTGTCTCGGTGGGGCCTGGGTGTGCGTCCGATGCGGATGCGCAGTGCCTGAAGAATTCGCGAGTATGTAAACAGCATCACAGCAAGAGAGCACAGGAACACGGGAACCTGTAGTAACAGATGAGCCTGTAGAGTTCCTCCCCACTCTGAACAAAGCACAGTGCTATTGGAGTGCACAAACACCCCCGCGCCTTGCCCCGAAACAAACCCCGCCTCCACGAATGGTAGGAGGGGCACGGCTAAAGAAACCGCCCATACTCCAACAAGTAAAATGGTGGCTCTTCGAGGTGTCAGCAGGCGATTGGCTGGCCGGACGCTGATGTCATAGCGATCTAAGCTGATGAGTAGCAGGTTAAGTGCGGTGCCCACACTGGCGAAGCTGGCTGCCGATTCGTGGAGACAGCAGAGAAGGGCGTGGTGAGGAACCGATGCTCCACCCAGAATGAGGAGCGTGGCAGTGATTGGCAGGCAGAGGAGACAGAGCAGCAGGTCAAGGGTGTGCAGGCTGAGCGTGACGGCATGACTGACGGACTCCAACAGGCTGCAGTGACCACAGTATAACACCAGCACGGTCAGATTGCCACCCACTCCCAGGAGCAGCTCCAGCAGCAGCACAGCACTCATCGTAGCCCGGAAGCCGAGCCACGACCCCTCCTGCTGAGCGAGTCCGGCCCCCACGCTATCTTCAGCCTGTAAGAGGGACAAACCGTGGCCCCCAGTGAAGCTGCCATCTGTCTCCATGGACACCATCGCCACGTGCCTTCAGGCATAGTAACGCCAGCCACTCCTACTGGCCATGCTCCACCTACTCAGGTGTTTTCTTGGGGCGTTGAATGATTGACAGATCTATGATGGGAAGACAAAAACAGAATGAAACGCATTCTTTAATGAACAGGCCAAAATGTACAGTATTTACTGGAGCAGGACACACTGAGATCCACTGTGACCCCTTTTCCACCGACAGGGTGCCAGGCTTTTCTTATATATCATGTTTATTAAACAGCATATATTTTTATAAATACTAATAAATATAAAAGACAACATTTAAATACATTTAAAATGACTGATTTTTTGTATTATTTTAACAAAATTATGTAATTTTTATATACATTTCTATCTATCTACCTATCTATAAAATATAAAAATACATCAAAAATATATATTTTATAATATAAAAATAACATTTAATACATTTAAATGTACTGATTTATTTCTAGTGTTTTTATTTTTAATTTGTTTTGACAAAATATTTAAATGTTATCCATCTATCTAAACAAAATATTTAAATGTTATCCATCTATCTATCTATCTATCTATCTATCTAGCTATCTATCTATCTATCGTTCTATCGTTATATCTATCTATTGTTCTGTCTGTCTGTCTATCTATCTATCGTTCTATCGTTATATCTATCTATTGTGCTGGTAATGAAAAGAGGTCACTGCAGTGGAACTTTTGAGTGACGGTGGAAGACATAGATTTAGGGCTCGGATTCTGTGGTAGTACGAATAACTGAAGCTTGACATCTTATGCTCACAGAAGTGAGACTGAGGCCAAAAATAAGCAAGACTGACTTTTGTCAGAGATGGCAGATCACGGCGTTGCATGTAAAAAACTGAGTAGTGAAAGAGATAGAGAGAGAGGGAGAGAATGAAAGATGAGTGGGAGGTGCAGGTGCACAGTGTGTTGTGAAATCTCTGGAGGAGTTTGTTTCTACCTCCTACCCTCTATCCATCACTGTGCTATGCTTGAGATCCATCCATCTTTCTTTGGACTAACCACGCTGTCTCAGCTCTTTCTGCCATTTATCAGACTCTATTTCATTATCGTTGTTTTCCAAGCCAATTTGGTCTGTCCACGCTGGTTTGTAGCCTGCCTGATAAAGGAATAATTCACCCGAAAATTAAAACTTGCTCTTAGTTTCAAGTGAACGCTCAAAATACATTATTCGGGTAACACTTTACAATAATTAACTAACACTTTAATACACTTTAATACATTAACTAACATTAACTAATGGAGCCCTATTGTAAAATGTTACAATTATTTGTTATTAAAGCATATACGTTCACAAAAACACTTTATTATATTGAACAGAAAAGCAAGCAGGTGCATGATTTGGCATGGCAGCCAATACAAATAATTAATAACCGTTTCCTTACCTAAATCCTGCGTTTGGACCAGGCTCGGTTGCAGAATCACATCACTTTGTGCTTCTGAAATTAGGCTATTATCTTTTTCTATATAGTGTAGTAGTTTTACTATCTCTTTGTCGTACATGGCTGCTTGTCAAGCATGAAAAACACACATTTTATTTAAATTCTGAATATATTATCATATAGGCTACAGCATGGAAAGAACTGTCACTCATTCATCACGATCTCACAAAGTTCAGTTTTAACCAATTAATGTGACCACATTGAAACTTTTTGAATGAAGTTACGAGCATGATAGAACTCAGCACCAGACAAAAAGCGGTGAGTGCGTGGATTCCAACCTAAACACATCTGATTGGCCATTGCGTTGTAGAAATCAACAAACATATCTGTGATTGGCTACTTTGCTCCCCTCTGCAAAAATGCATTGTAAAATCATTTGACGTTTTCCAAAACAGAAGGGCAGATACACTGGATTGTTTGCCAAATCTATTTCATTATGCTATTATTACGAAGAAAACAGATCCTAGACCAGGAGTTATGGGGAGTCACAGGGATCTCCGTGGGGGGGCAAATCCCCCCTGGCCCCACCTCTGGTGCCGGGCCTGGTTCTCTGTATTCCAAGCATTCTGAAGTCATATGATAGCTTTGTGTGCAGAATTTAAATGTAAGCAAAAGTAGATTGATATATTATCGAGATATATTTTGAATTAGTTTTTATTTTTGTACTTTCTGTTTTCAAATTAACTTTAATTTTTGTTTGTTTAATTTGTCTTTTTTATTATAGTTTTTTTTTAAATATGTGTATGTAGTTTCTATTCATTTTTACTTCAGTTTTAGTACATAAAGTTAAACTAAAGAAATGTTGCTTTGGCTACTAGCTGAAATAAAAATAAGTTACATTTTCTTTCTGTCTTTCTTTTTTTACGTGACAGAAGGAAGCTGTTTTTTTATAGTTTTATATTTGGTTAACTATAATATCTTGTTCTTTATTTTGCATATTGAAACTTGCACATTAAGATTGGTCACATGATGATATCAAACCTGTAAAGCCTTATCAAGGCTTTTTCCTTTGTGTTGCACAGAAAGAAAAAAAAAA